AAATAGAAGTTCAAAATCAAACAAAGCAATAAGAAAACAAGTAGATTCACAAGACAAAAATAAATTAATAAAACTGAGCTACAGATAAATAAAAATGTGCACTGTCCTTAAGCACACCAAACAAAAGCTTGCTATATTCACTCAAATGCTCATCCAACTCTCTCTAAAAACACAAATCTCTTTTTTAAAGTTCATCACAAACCCGTCACCCATTCCTCATAAGCCTACGCACTCGTCTGTAACGTACAGTACCTGCACATGAGACATTACAAGAAAGCAGATTGCCTAGCTGTGACATTACCAGGAAATAAGCAGCCACTCTGAAAGACAATAGTCTTCCTTGAAGACCACTTCCCTTTTGATAAAGACACATGTGCAGAAACACATTTTAGGGTCAGTAACAGACACTTTTATTCAAAAAGAACAAGTTTAAAAATGATTTTCAACCTGCTGGTTAACGATGCACATTTCACCCTAGGTCACTGCAACAAATTATGGTTCTTGAAGTTTTGTCATTCGTACCGGAAATAGTTGTTTATTGTGTTTGTTATAACTTTTGTTTCCCTAAATGGAGCTGATAGGTGATTATTTTGTATGAGCCTACCTGAAGAAGCACAACAATGTGGTAAGATGAACACTACGGTGGGCAGCAGCCAACTCGTCGTAGATGTGGCCATCACATTTGGCCTTCAAGTGTCTGAAAAAAAAAAAAAATAATAATAATAATAACAATAAAATAACAACAACAACAATACTCAAACACGTAGCGAACCTATACAGTCACATGCTACACAAAACCAACTTAAATGGCCGAAATAACCTGGTATACACTAGTTTAGAACCATTATGCAGTAAATAACAGCATGTAAAGCTACTGAATCAACACGTAAACTTTTACTTAAAACTTTGGTAAACTCACGCGCCGACTCAGACTGAGTGACATTCCGGATACACCAGTCGTGTCATTCATTAACCTTAACGGTCCAAGCTAAAAGACTTGATTTTGTTTCAACAATTTACTGAAGAAGTATATTTACCTCATTGCAAAGACACATGGAGCAACCTACAACGCGAACATACTCGACAACACAGTCTGTTCAGCTGGTAGACCCGCCCATGTCGGGAATTGCCAGTGACGTCAGCGCGGTCACATCAAACTGCCTGGGGCGATAAAAAGCAGAAACCGCACTATCCTAAACGTCCCAAGCGTGTTGACGTAACCTACGCATATTCTCTGGCTACGTTTAGTTAAAATAAATAGCTACAAGATGCAAAATGAAACTGAAACCCCAAAAATAATTAGTTGCTTTTGATTACTGGAAAGTGTCATTTCTTTTTATTCTATTCCCAAGAGTTGGGTTTCTTATGCCAAATTAAAAAAAAGATTAAAAAAAAGAAAAAAAAACAATTTACAGAAAGATCAAAACCACATTCACAGATTACAAGAAAATCTGGCTTTTTGGAAGCAAAAACATTTAAAACATTTAGCCTACACCTCATTATTTAGCTCTAACACATATAGGTGCACCACAGACAGGTGTCCCACAAAGCCAGAATGAACCTGAAGCTACACAGGTTTTCTCCAACTGCAGCCACAGCTGTGTCACATGATACATTAACAACAGCATCAATGCGGACATAATAAACTGACAACTAAATAAAACATTTAAATAAAATGTATTTTACTCACCGTAACATTATCTGTTTACAAACTCAATCCTCCTTTTTTTTCAGGAAGAGTTCAGTTCCTCTGTCACACAGGTCCATGGTGTTTCAGTTTCAACAATAAGTCCTTTTCTATCATCACCATGAAGCTAACACTGAAAATCGAATCTGTTTTGTTGTATTTTTGTCACAAGCTTTAATTTTCTGTAATGTTGATAATGTCCCGGGAACAGACGAGCAACAGATGAAATATGATTGGATAAAAACTCTAAATAAATACAACCTACTGGGAGCTGCACAGCCATGATATAAACAAAGAGAACAGATATTTAAAAAATAAAAAATAGCCTAATAATATTATTTTTTTATTAATAAATATAAAATATACTAAAATGTATACTGGTGATTCTGACTGTGTTTAGGTCAGCAGAGAAGGCTTTGCTGGCCTTGACAGCCCACCACTGATTGTAGCCTATTCTGATATAATAACCCATTCCTGTAAAGAGAACACAATTTTAAGAACTGTGAATCTGAATTGGACAATAAATATTTCATTTATCTAGTTTTTATGCCCTCCTGATCCACTTTTCCTTTCATTTTTTAAATGAACATACATGCTGGATATCTGGACATTACAGTTAGGCCTTCTGCAGTTATTTTTCTTGAAGTAGTATTGTAGTAGTATTTTAATGATAATATTTTCTATTGTAAAAGTATTTCAAATTATTTTCAGGAGCAGCAACACTATTATAAGATCTGAAAATTTAAATTCAAAACTCAAGTATATTATTTGTGTTACATACCCCTGTGTCATTATGAATGAGTGTTTGTTCAATAAATGTGTCCTCTGTTTCCAGASCTGATCAGCTAGCAAGACTTTATAATTTCTATTAAAAAAGATTTAAAACAATGCAATTACCTGGGTTCCATGTACTATCCTTTAAGTATTTCCCTGACACATAGACCATAACATATTTGGGGGCTCGTCCAGGATCTAAACCCAGGATCTYTCACATCCGAAGCAAGAATCATATTCCAACATAAATGTGATGAATATAATATTTGTAAAGCTTCGTAAGAGACAGCAAGAAATAGACACAGCAATACGCATGTGGGTAAGGCATTTTAGTTTTATGACAGTTTTGTTGCTCATCTGAATTTCTAACATCAAACACTCGCTGGTGTATGGAAAAAATGCAACATATGAAAAAACTACAAATGAGATTAGACCTTAAACATGAGYATATTCATGAAGTTGCATATAAATAGTGTAAACATTACTTACATCACCAAGTTCTYAACATTACCAGCAGGACTAATAGAAATAAAACAGCACTTATTGTTATTGTTCTATAATCAACAAATATGTTTTGGCCATAAAAACATACAAAGACTCACTTAATAATGAAACATGAAAACAGATCCAAGTTCTTCAGAAATGGAAATGAACATAAACGTGTGCACATATGTGTGACGGTTGTTTCAGTGTAAAAATACTGCATTCAGATCTTGTGYATCAACCCTCAGCACAGGGAGCTGATCTCACTTTTGCTGCAGCCCCACTTGCAGCAGGCGTTGGACAGACCCACCACAACATCTCGGCCTTTGCGGTCAGCTTTGCGAAGGGCCTCTAGGATCTCATCGGTGATGAACGAACGCGAAGACCTGCTGAACACTCCCTCCTGGTTGTTTCTGGTTGTTGTGAAGCTCAGGTCCTTGTTTCTCTGAAGAAGACTTTCCACTGCCAAGTTGGAATTCAAACCCTCTGAAGACTCATCTTGATTAGAGCTGAATGGATCCTCTAAAACATCCGCTGGAGAAAAGATAAAAATGGCAAATCAAACACTGGTCTTCTTTCTGAAAACACACATGAATGAACAGACACTTGTTTATTATCTGTAGYGTTATTAAAGAATTCAAGACGGCATAAATCTGGAAAGAGTTCAGATTTTTAGGGATTTTATAGCTGCATGTTCTGCTTCAAAGCCTCTTTATTCAAGAAAAAATATTTTAAATCTGAACTAAGCCATTTCCAGAAAACATAGTTAAAAATTGATCATTTGTATTTATTTTCTATAAATAAAAAAATTAACAGGCCATTTTCTACAAAGATTTGCTTTACATGAAAATGGGCAAAAARGTGTACATTTTGTCCAAGTGAGAACCAAAATGTTAAATATAACGTCAGTTTCAACTAAATATAAGTGGATGAAAAATATCAAGAATGGAATCATGTTTGAAAGTAAATTTTAAAAACCATAACAGAAGTAGTAAATYCTATCATGAAGACTAAATGAAGGTGCAGAGTTATAGCGCATTGTGTCATACCTGGACTCCTGAGTGACCGTCTCCACCGTGAGCCTCCACAAGTGAAGATGACTGCCCGAATGAACTCTCGGCCGCAGAGTTTCACTCCGTAGGCTGGATCCTCCATGGGCTGAGCCTCAGCCACAATCAGACACACAGCCAGAACCACAGCCTTCCACATGCTTCCMACAAGCAAATTGAGCAAAGTAGAAATATTCAAAATCAGGGAGGATTCTCTCTGTTTGCATGAGCCGTGACTCTGACCCAGAGGTGCTTTATAAAGGAGTGTGGAGCCATGCATGGCCGACAATCACATTGCGCATGCATGCAGGCCTTTTTCCAGCAGAGAAAGAGATTCTAAAGAGCGATACGGTGAGAGACCTTTATGGAAACAAAAGACAGTCCAAAGGTGGCCCAATCCACAAATTTGATGGGAGCTTCTGTGATCTGTGTGTCAGCCTGTGATGTATATTTGTCACCTTTAGTGCTCCTCAATGTAATGTTTCTGCAGATCAGTTAAAATTCATCATCATCAGTAAAACAATTAGAAACATAACATACAATAACAACAAAACTTGACTGGCAAGGACTGTGTTTATTGGAAATTCAAGAAATAATCTTGTCTATTTTTTAATAAAATAATTCTAATTTGAATTAACTTCACATTCAGTACACTACTGAAAAAAATCACACAGTGCCATAATAGATTTTTAAGTATGAACACAAAAATCATTCAAATGCATTTACAACATAACTTAGCCTGAACACTGAATATGTTAGACCATCTGTTGACAATGTTTACTCTAATAAARTTTACAGCTACATGTGTTTTGCCATCTTTAATTCTCTCCTGATTGTGTGGGTTTTCTTTTCTGCTAATTRTCTTCCCCGTTAGCCCTTTGCCAAAAGGTGAACAGAAAGGCCTGAGACAGGTCCGGTGACATTTTCAAAAGCAGATAACACAGAGGTCCTATTATGAGTCAGTAAAATGTAAAACCCATTTTTATCTGTAGTCACACAGTCAAAGGTCACTCATTAAAAAAACTACAATGGAGATGGTGAATCTGTAATTAATGCAATGATAAAAAAGCAAACAAAATGGCATTTTGGGAGGGTGGTCACCCTGACACTCATTAACACACYGCCATTGGAATATCATCTTTCTGTGCTTTATACTGTGAAGTACTAGTTGACTCAGTTTTTTTTGTTTGTTCGTTTTTGCCATGCTGACAAAAGGCAATGAAATGGAATATTTTAAACTTAATGAACTACATTTACTTAACGTTTACAAAATATGTAAAATAGAAAATTATTTTTAATAAATAGACTGGACTAAAGTTGCAGCATGTCCCTAAAATTATTAAAAATGACTTATCACTCCTGATGCCTTTGGGTCAAATGACCCCTGAGGCCTCAGGATCAAGGAATTTTGACCCAAAAACAGCAGGAGAGTTAACACGCGTAGGAAATTATATTTTTAACAGTTTTTATTGCTCTTCATTATCTACAGAAAAATGCCAGTAAAACGACATGTCTATTATTTTAAGTCTTATAACATCTGCCCAGTGTTGTATAAAGTACCACAAAATGATACTTGAGTAAAAGTACAAGTATCTTACCAAAAATTACTTTGGTAAAAGTTACAGTCTCCTTTAGGAATATTACTTCAGTAAAAATTTTAAAGTATCTACTATTTTTTGTACTTATTAATAGTAAAAAGTATTGCTTTAAAATGAGCAGTTAGATGTTCCGTGATGACATTTATTAGGAGGTGACCTCCCCCCCCCCAAAAAAAAATGCAGAAATGACTGTCATATTAAAATAATTTATGTTAAATTTGGGATGCACTAGTCTATCTGTTTCAGTTTATATACATATATCAAAGGTACCCAAAACTTTTCTCCAAAATGAAAATCTATCTTAATAATAATATAATTCATGAAATACAAATACTTCTTAAGAACAGTTCTTTTATTTTAATGATTATGTCCTGCTGGAGTGTGACACGATTTGTTTGTGTACAAACTAATATAGTGTCAGAATTTTATATTTATACTTCTCATTCAACCACAAAAAAATTCACTCTGCTTAGGAGGCACAATTTACTTATTTTTAAAATAACAAGCTGAAATGAAAACAAGCAAAAATTAAATAAAAATAACGACTTGCCTTTTTAAAAAATGTAATAGAAAGTACAGATAATTGTGTGAAAATGTAAGAAGTAGAAGTAAAAAGTAGGCTGAAAAATATTTACTCAAGTATACAGATACCCCAAAAATCTACTTAAGTACAGTAACAAACAGTGGTGGGCACAGTTCCTAAAGCACTAATAGGGGAACTAATTTCCTGATTAGTGCTTTAGGGTTTTTGCTAATTTTAAATTTTATTAGTGGRTTAGCACTTGCTAAATTTTAGGTTAAGTTTAGAAGCACTAACTGAGGTCTATAAATGTTATTGATCAACATTAATGTTAACAGCTGAGGGTGAAAACTGTCACACATTTTGTTCATTTGTGTGTCACTTATCCAACAGGTGACAATATATTGACAAAAAATGAACTCAAATACGGCTGTGGAATGTCAATGATAAGAGAGCAACGTGGCAATATGTGACTCATGTTGTTTGTTGAAGAATGTTCATGGGTTGACTGGGTCATTTAGAGCTTTAGAATTAGCTTTTGCTAAAACTTTTCCATGTCAAAAATAAAAAACAAACAAAACACATTAAATACAACAAAACAATGAAAATCAAATAAAAATGAAAGGCAGCAGCAGAAGAAAAAAATCTTATGATATCTGCTCCTATTTACAAAAAAATATTAATTTCAAACAATAATAAACCAAATAAAACAAAAATAAAATACAAATTAAACAATTTCATATTTCTTCAAGAGTTTTGCTTTGATAATTTTTTCAAGGGAATTAATTGATCCAATGCTTTTATAATCATTTTCCAGATTATTCCATAGTCTAATACCATTTACTGAAGTGCCTCTGTCCTTCAAATTTGTTCAGATTTTTGGTTTCACAAACATTTGTAATCCCTTCAAATTATAACAGCTTTCCCTCTTAACAAAAGTTGATTGGATGTTTGAAGGAAACACATTTTTATTATCTATATACATAGCCTGCAGAACATGATATTCAACCAACTCATAAAATTTTAATAATTTTAATTGATGAAACAATATATTAGAAGGGTGATAGTAATGCTTTCTTGTGATAATTCTTATGGCTCTTTTTTGTAAAATAAAAATAGGGTTAGTGATTGTTTTACATGCATTTCCCCAGACTTCTATACAATAAATCATATGTTGGAAAATTATTGCATTATAYAGTATTACTAGTGCTTTATCATTAAATAGATTTAGCCATTTTTTCAGTGCATTAGTGTTTTAGAATTAGGGGACCAAAATATTTGAGTTAGTGTTTTAGTGGAACTACTTTTTAAATTAGTGCTGCCCACCACTGGTAACAAAGTATTTGTACTTAGTTACTTTGCAACTCTGCATGATCCGCAGCCATGTTTCTGAACACACAAATGGGCGTGGAAGGCTTTGTAGTAAAATGTGTTTTAGGGACACTGTGCCTTTAAGAGGATTTGTCAGCTCTCAGCCAATCAGAGTGAAGAAGGGGGAGGAAAGGGAGCGGGTGGGTAGCAACAGTTGCCCTGGTGAGGACGAAGCGCCATAGCCACGGTAGCCCTGGCGACCAGAACCCAGCAACGAGAATCAACAACAACAACTGAATCCGCCATAAAGAATTAAAAAACGATAATTCATCAGCGTGGAGCCAGAGGTGAAGCTTTAGGTACGTATTGCATTTTAATTCTCTAACGCCTGACTGAATTGTGCTGTGTTTTCCTCCTTGTTGTTTCAGTGGCCATAATAACACAACCTGCTGCCTGTGTTAGCCTAACGGTAGCCTTTGGTCCGATTAGCGTTGACCGTGTTCCGTGTGGTTGTGAGTACGGTCTCCGTGGAATGACACGGAGGCTCGCCTGCCATGACGACGCAGACACAGATGCACAGGCAAGCAGCAGGCCGTTGTTATGGCGATGTCAAAATGCAAAAGCTACAAAATGGCGGTTGTTGTAGAGACCAGTTAGCTTCAAGTTGCCTCGACACCGTCACGACGTTTGTGCAGTGCTGTTTCCAGCTAACGCATTGAAATCCCACGGTTTTAAGATAGCTCGTGTTTTCGGCATGTATGCATGTACAAGAAGGACTTTTTATTATCATTATTTTTTATTTTAGCTTGCTAGGTTTTACCATTATCCGAAACACAGTGGTTATATGATATGTCATAGTAAAATGGTTGAGACAGTCCAGCTAAAMGTCATATATGTGTTGTGTTATTATTCGGTAGAGAAAGTGTTATAATAATCAGTGAAAGCAGAAACAGCTGTGGCAGGTTGTTGCGGACATTTAACGTGTAAAGGGGCGTGGCCAGGGAGGGCGTTCTGCAGCTGTAAGGGTAGTTCACCATTTATGTTGACAGTTTTAATACATTTAAAACTATTTTTTTAAGTCTAAAAAGTTCATTATGCTAATAGACCTTTAAATTGAGTATRAAGTGCTCGGAATAACATATGTAGTCAATAAACATAATTTGTTGTCATTGAAAACCTCATCYATTAGATCACACGAACTCCATTGTAACAAACCTTGAATAATTATGGTTCATATCAAATGGCTGAAATAGTAGCAGCTACATTATGTGCATTGAGTTTTTATTAAACATTATTATATTAAAATAGTGCAATATAGGTAACATTTTGCAAGCAGCTGTTTTTAGTCATAGACCACATGGAGGATTTTTAAAGGTTCATGGAGCACAGCATGCAAACTCTAGAATGCCTTAACACACCTGTAATATACATAGGTATGGTATTTACATGTATGTTTACCTGAAGTGTCATTGCCATAATCCACAAATGTAATTTAGATATTTTCTGAGTAATTTTGGAAGTCTAATCTGTGCTACATTTAGATACTTATGGTTGTAATAYGATTRTTGACCTTTTTACAGTTACTTATGCCCATCTTCAGTGTCAGTGATGCAGTGTGCCCTTTTTTATATATTAATGCCTAAATTGCCTATTTATAAAAAGTGCATTTTTTTCATCTAAATAGTGTTCATACTGTATTTACCCATGTTTCAGCTGTGCTCTGCAGTAATTACGACAACTGCATTATCACAACCTAAAATTTAGGTATATGTATGTGTGTGTTGAGCTCATGTCAAAAAAATCTGACAACTTTAAAATGGAAATTGATTAGCTTTAAAGTTGATGATTGTTCAGATCCCTTAGATTTATCTGTTTATGTATCCTTTAATGTGTAAAAAATCTGCACAAGAGTGATTGTAGTTTAAAACATCGTACAAGGGTAAATATAGATTTACAACGTTATAACTTAAGTATCCGCTAAGTCATACTCAGGTTTTTTACAATGTGTATTATCTGAAAACATAGTATGGGGTAGGAGTTCATGTTTTTTTACTTCTTCATTTTCGAACATGTTAAGATTACTGTTGCTACAAAATATGTGTATCTTGCATTCAAGGTTGTTATTTTATACTGCTATCATGTTCGAAATAAATTTGTTTGATCAATAAAACAAATTTATAGGTGGGTTTGTGGGAGTCAGTAGAAAAGCAAGCGTAAAGGACCAAAAGCTAGCGTTGAATAATAACTTTGCATACTGGAATAATATATGAATCCGTATGGGCACATGGTGCCCTGTTTCATGCATGTGCATCAGTGAAAAACAATTTAAAACTGTATCAGTATACTTTAATGATCAACGATTTTAAACYRTTTTCTCTGTCATTTTATTATCKTAGCAAAAAMCTATTAAAACGTCCAAAGCACCAACAAAATATCAAGATTTAGTGCACTTCAAAGCMTTAAAACAGGATGAATTACAGTATTCTGTTGATGAGGTAAGGGATTTTCCCAACTCCTTTAACAGCTTTGAAAGGCTAAAGGTGGTGTGATCCCATTACAGGTAATGAGACACCAGAGTATTTATTCCCTTCAATTGTTTCTCCCCCTTCAGGCTGTTTGGCTTCATCACAAACAGGTTTGCCACAGCAGTATGTTGACTTACCTMCTATTCTTTGCCCACAGTTTAGTTTTATTGTTGATCATCCACACTTTCACTTTCAAAACGTAATGTGGCAAGTAGTATCATTTTATGCCTGTGACACTAACAAGTAGCTTTGTTTCAGCATTTCTTTGTAGCTAAACTCTAGTTTAAAAAGATAACCCCATCTGTGTTGCTAATTTAAATAATTGTGGTGTTTACCAGAAGGGATGTCTTGTGTTTATTCTAGGGTGATTATTAGTTCTTGTAATGGCCACCTCATCCTACGTAGGGGAGATCCCACCAACAGGCCAAACTCAGGGGGCTGCTGTTACCGTGACACCAGGACAGCCTGACGCTGCTTCCACCCCTGCAACCACCCCTCAGTTTTTAGCAGAKATTCAAACTACCGTGGCTGCTCCCACTGTCGTCACACCCTCGGGCCAAACAGCTCCTACTGAACAGACGTCCTCCATAATCGCTCCGAAGCCTGCAGCTGCAAGCCAAACCCAAACCACCGCACAGGCGCCGCCGGCTCAGGCGCAGTATGTGACGGCGGAGATCCAGGGTTCCCCCACACAGTCTGGAAAYGCTCAGAGCACACCTCAGTACATCGTTGTTACTGTCACAGGTAACAGCTGAAACTCACACAAAAACATTTTAGTCACAGCGAGGCATGGCTTCATACCTGAACATTAGCGCAGAAGTRTAGGGATTAGTGTGACCTGGATGACTGAGAAGTGGACAAATAAAAATTTACAAGGCTTTTATTTTATTTTTTTTATTTGTTGTTGTAATTTTTGAATAATGGTTGTCAAATGATTAATCTTTTTAATATGATTAATCCCAAAGTAGCTGTGAATTAATCATAATAATCTTAAATTTAATATA